GCATTGACTGTAGTGCTGTATGAAAAAGTATTTTGTGGGCTGGGAAGTTGGCTCAGTGGTAGAGCGCTTGCCTTGCATGCCTGAGGCCCTGGGTTTGATTCCTCAGCACCACATAAGCAAAAAGAAAAAGCCGGAAGTGGCGCTGTGGCTCAAGTGGTAGAGCGCTAGCCTTGAGCTGAAGAGCTGAGGGACAGCGCCCAGGCCCAGAGTTCAGGCCCCACAACCGGACCCAAAAAAAAAAAAAGTATTTTGTATATGTGTTTGTGTGTGTTCTGGGGCTTGAACTCAGGATCTTAGTGCTGTCCTTGAGCTTTTATACTATCCTTCTACCTCTTGAGCCACAGTTCTACTTCTGGCTTTTTTGGTAGTTTAATTGGAGATAAAGAGTCTCACAGATTTTCCTGACATGGCTGGCTTTGAACTGTGATCCTCAGATCTCAGCCTCCTAAATAGCTAGGATTAAAGGTGTGAGCCACCAGTACCCAGCTAAGGGATTCAGGTTTCTCCTTTGTACCGGTTTCTGTTTTGGTTTTTATTTTGGGTCTGTTTTGGTTTTTATTTTGGGTCTGGTCGTGGGCCTGAACTCTGAGCCTGGGCGCTGCCCCTCAGCTCTTCAGCTCAAGGCTAGCGCTCTACCACTTGAGCCACAGCACCACTTCCGGCTTGTTTTTTTGCTTTTGGGTGCTGAGGAATCGAACCCAGGGCCTCAAGCATGCAAGGCAAGCGCTTTACCACTGAGCCACCTTCCCAGCCTGTACCGGTTTCTGTTCTAGGTGTATCATACAAAAAGTAAACAAAGTAGAGCTATCATATGCCAGTAATAAATCCTTTGGAGAGTAATAGAACAGATGTGCTTTGGGATGAGTTTCTTGTATATGTGTGTATACTGCTATTTTAAATACAATGATCAAGAATGAGCTCATGATAAGATGACATTTGAGTACATACCTTGAAAATGAAGGAAGGAGGTGGATAGCAGTAAACTAGCAAGTGTAGAGGGCCTGGAGTTGAAGCCTTATTTAGCAAGGATACCTGTATGGGTGGAACATGGTGAGTGAGGAGGACAGTACATGGGGTAAGAACCCAAGGAGTTAGTAAAATCAGATTATTAGGGCTTTATTATAAAATACTCAGAGCTGACCTAGTTGAAACATCTTGGATACTGTTGTTGAGGGAAAAAAGAAGCAACAACAACAACAAAAGCCCAAACCCTTTGTGTGGGGAAGGAAGATAACTAGTTGGAACCACTGGTATGATTCAAGTGAATAATGTTGGTAGCTTAGACCAGGGCATTACAATGAAGGATAAGATTGGTCAGATTTTAGGTAAAGATGAAAGGATGTGATGATGGATCAGATGTCTAGAGTGTGAGAGGAAAAGAAGTATCAAGGTTAACACTGTTTTTAACATGAACAGTGGAGGGATGAAGTAATTTGCCTTCTCTTGAGAAGAAAGACTAAGAAGAACAAAGCTCTGTGTGTGTATATGTATGTGTGCTAGGGGGTATATGTCAGGAGTTGATTGAAGAGACGTTAAGTTGAAGATATTTACTAGACACTCAGGTTTATATGTTGATAATGTATTTGAGTTTGAGTCTGGAACTTCAGTAGATAATAATAGAGGCATCTTCAGCATATTGATGGTATTTATTTTTAGTTTTAAAAATTATCAAGGTGATGTACAGAGGGGTTACAGTTATATAAGTTAAGTAAAGGTATTGATAATATTCTTAAAGGAATTGGCATGGGAGGATGGGTACAATGGTAAAGAGATGAAGTCTAGAGATTGAGGCATTACTGCACTTAGGAGTTAAAGGAGACAGTGGAGTAATTTATAAAGTAGAGAATAAAGAGTGGTGTCTTGTGTGGAAGTCAGGGGAAGTAAAGTGCAGTTAGGAAGCATCTACTTTCACCCGTTGCTGAATTGAGAGGTCAATGAAGAGGAAGACTGAGAATCATTCCCAGCACTAAATACCATGGAAATCCTATAAGGCCTTGACAAACACTGTTTCCATGGAGCTTTGGGGTGAGAGGGCTGATTGGGGTAGATGTAAGAGAATATGGAAAGAGAGGAAATGGAAACAAAAAGAATTGTGCCCTGCAAGGGAGCAGAGCATGTATCTATTGTGAAGCAAGAGGTCAAGTAAAATTTTACATTCTTTTCTTTAAAGATGGGTGCTATTATAAGATGCAGAAGAGGGAGAAAACTGACGATGCTGAAGACAAATGCTTGAGTGGGCAAAAAGAAATAGGATCTAGTATGGTTTGAGTTGAGGGATTTGTTTTAGGTAGGAATAGGGATGATTTATTCTCGTGTGCGTGCGTGTGTGCGTGTGTGCGTGCGTGCGTGCGTGCGTGTGTGCGTGCGTGTGTGCGTGCGTGTGTGTGTGTGTGTACATGCGCTATTCCTTGGGCTTGAACTCAGGGCCTGGGTGCTGTCCCTGAGCTTATTCTGCTCAAGGCTAACATTCTACTACTTGAGCCACAGCTCGCTCTTCTAGCATTTTTAATTTATTGAGATATGACTTTCCCTGGCTTTGAACTGTGATCCTCAGATCTTATCCCCCAGTTGCAGACATTTATTCTTTTTTAAAAAGATAGAACTTTATTGTTGTTATTAAGGTGTTGGGGTTACCATTTCATAAGTCAAGTACATTTTTTTTTCTTTGACAACAATCACTGGTTCCTTCACTTTCCTCTAGTTTGCCCCCTCTCATCCTTGCCTAGAGACAATTCATTCTTTAAAAAAAAAATGTTGTCTTTTTTTCATTTGTGAGGCTTGAACTGAGGGCCTGGGTGCTGTCCCTCAGCTTTTCCGCTCATGGCTAGTGCTCTACCACTTTGAGCTACAGTGCTGCTTCCAGTTTTCTCATGGTTAATTGGAGATAAAAGTCTCATGGACTTTTCTGCCCAGGCTGGCTTTGAATTGTGATCCTCAGATCTCAGCCTCCTAAGTAGCTAGGATCCACAGGCATGAGCCACTGGTGCCTGGCAATGATCAATTCTTTATTTTTTTTTTTATTTTTTATTTTGTCTGTCTTGCTGCTTTAACTCGGGGGTTTGGACATTGTCCCTGAGACATCTTTGTGCTCAAGGCTAGCACTCTACCACTTGACCCACAGCACCACTTCCAGCTTTTTTTTTTTTGTCCATCATGGGGCTTGAACTCTGGGCCTGGGCCCTGTCCCTGTGCTCTTTAGCTCAAGGCAAGCATTCTACCGCTTGAGCCACAGTGCCACTTCTGGTTTTTAGTGGTTTATTGGAGATGAGTCTCACGGACTTTCCTCCCCGGGGTTGGCTTTGAACCTTGATCCTCAGATCTCAGCCTCCTGAGTAGCTAGGATTATAGGTGTGAGCCACCAGCTCCCGGCTACTTCCAGCTTTTTTGAGTAGTTTATTGGGGAAAAGAGTCTCATGGATTTTTCTGTCCTGCTTGGCTTCTACCCATTATCCTCAGATCTCAGCTTCCTGAGTAGCTAGGATTATAGGCATGAGCCACTGGCTCCCAGCTGACAAATTCCTTCTTAATAGCAGGAAGGAAGGAAAAATACATTAGTAAAGATGAAGCAGTGTTGACATGTTGCATGAAATAGGAATTAGAGTGACCAGTGGAATGTGAGGACATGGAAGAGAAGCAGTGAAGTAATCATTAAGAGAGTGAAAAAGTTACTGAATATTTTTTTTTTTTTTTAAATTGGAGGTTCTTGTTTGTGTTTTAACTGGGGCAGTTCTAGAACATTGACAGCAGATTTACTATCCCATATTTGCTGATAACTGCCAGGGAAGCTGGGAATCCAGACACCAAGATTAGCTACCTAATTCATTGTGACCACCAAAAACCTCCTATATTTTCAAATTTTCCCTGGGGTCCAAAACCACCACTGTTGGAATTATTATTATTATTTGGGGGTTACTGATAATTAAAAGAATTATAACATGATTTTATATTTTTCCCCTCTTGGTATCCACATTCAGTTATTCAAGGTTACTGATGTGGTTATAACCAGAGTTGGGTTTAATTTGGGATTGAGGTTTAGCTAGTAGAGGATAACAAGAAGAATTGCTGGTTATGGATAAGAACAGAAGTGAAGATATGAAAAGAGAGGACTGTAAAAACCTGGGAGCCATAGCAGATTATAAATTCTGGTAGTGAGGATGTAGGAAAGAAGGTAAGAGCATTGTAGGAAAGGAATACCAGGGAGTAAGTGGTCGAATTTTAGAAGGGTCATATATATGATTATTAAAATTGTAAGACTTACACAAGAAATACAGTGTGTGTCAGTCGAAAAAGCTTTGAGAGGTCATTCCAAGGTAGCTGCAGTAAATGAAATAAATAATGGAATTTATGCATATGCAGGAAGGGCCAAAAGCTCCCTGAAGTCATTGGGATGATGACTTTCCTGGAATTAGATAAAAAGATGCGATGGATACTTTTTTTTTTTTTTTTTGTCGGTTGTGGGGCTTGAACTCTGGGCCTGGGCGCTGTCCCTCAGCTCTTCAGCTCAAGGCGAGCGCTCTACCACTTGAGCTACAGCGCCACTTCCGGTTTTCTGGTGGTTTATTGGAGATAGGAGTCTCACGGTCTCTCCTGCCCAGGCTGGCTTTGAACCGCGATCCTCAGATCTCAGCCTCCTGAGTTGCTAGGATTACAGGCGTGAGCGATGGATACTTTTTACATCAATAAGACACTTTATTTTTTTGTGCCGGTCCTAGGGTTTGAACTCAGCGTCTGAGTGCTGTCCACTAGATTTCTTAGTCAAGGCTGGCACTCTTTCTTGAGCCACAGCTCCATTTCTGGCTTTTTGTTTAATTGGATATGAGTCTCATGAACTTTCCTGTCCAGGCTGTCTTTGAATCATGATCCTTCTTTCTCAGTCACCTGAGTAAGTAGGATTATAGGAATGAGTGCTTGGCTCATTATTAGCATGTTTATGTACTCTATACACATTTTAAGCTAGTTGTACATAAGTTGAAAAATATTCTTTCCCTCTTCTCTTGCAGGTGTATTTCAGAGAACAACTCTTCAAGCATCTTTGCTATATTTGACACTGAGCTGTCAGGGGACTCAGGCTTATGAGGAAGTACTGTCACACAAAACAGTGTCTAGTGAAGAAGACCAGAAAGAGAGGAAAGGACCGGAAAAAGAAGCTCAAGTACTACAGAAAACCATGGTAGGTGATGATGTTTTTTAAAAATTGCCTATTTACAAAGAGTACATAGGATAAAATTAGAAGTGTTAAATAGTAAGGGCAGTTAAGAACAGTGGCTATAGGGAATCAGACAAAGATGACTCAGATAAAGACCATGCTAGTCATGGTGGCATATCCCCAATACTGGAGAAACAAGTAGGATCATGAGTGAGGCCAACCTGGGGTATATAATAGCAAGATGCTACCTAAAAACAAGAGCAAAGCCAGGTGCCGTTGGCTACTCAGGAGGATCCCAGTTCAAAGTCATCCCAAACAGGAAAGTCCAGTTAACCACCAGAAAACCGGAATTGGTTCTGTGGCTTAAAGTAGTAGAGTGCTGGTCTTGAGGATAAAGCTTAAAGACAGTACTCAGGACCTGAGTACCCACAACCAAACAACAACAACAAAAGCAAAGCACTGTGGTGTGGGTATTTTTTTTTTTTTTGTGATGGTCCTGTAGCTTGAACTTTGTTGTCTCTGAGGCACTCTATGACTTGAGACACAGCTCCACTTCAGGCTTTTTGGTGGTTAATTAGATAATAATCTCATGGACTTTCCTGACTTGGACTTTCCTGCCTCCTGAGTCCCTATGATTATAGATGTGTGCCATTGCTGCCAGCTAACATGCTTCCGAGGTTTCTCCCCTCACTCCCCCTCCTGGGCCTGGGCACTGTCCCTGAGCTTCTTTTGCTCAAGGCTAGTGTTCTACCACTTGGGCCACAGTGCCATTTCTGGCTTTTTCTGTGGTACTGAGGCATCAAACCCAGGCCTTCATGCATTTGGAGGCAAGCACTCCCACCACTAAGGGCACATTCCCAGTCCCTAGCAGCTATTTTTAAGTGAAGAAATGGAGCTCAGATTGATTACTAGCCCATCTAAACCTTAGGATGAAGTCATTTGTGCCTTTAGGACATAAAAATTTAAATAGAAAGGGAAAGAATGCTTATAAATAATATTACCTAGTAAAGTAAGCTTTAGTAAACCAGTAACATTGCCATGGGGCCTTGAATTTAAAATTAAGTATCTTTTCTGTAGCTTTCAAACTGCTGGGTTTTTTCCCCTCAAAAAAGATTCTGATATAGTCCTTTGATTGGTGACATATGAGTGTTATATGAGTTTATAATGTTAGAAATGTTTAATTCAAAAAGTCTCATTTTAGTCTGGGAGTTGAGTGGTGGCTCAAGCTAAAAATCCCAGCTACTCAGGAGGCAGAGATGAGGAGGATTATGGTTTGAGGCCAAAATAACCAGCAAAACATAGAGCCAGAAGTTAGCAAGACGCCATGTCATCTTAACCAACAGTACTTGGTGGCACGGGCCTACCATCCCACAAGCATAAATAGAGTCTGGGCAAAAAAATATGAGGACTCTATCATCAAAATAACTAAAGCAAGAAGGGCTGGGGTCTTGGTTCAAATGAAAGCGGTATAGCACTTATCTAGCAAGCATGAGATCAAACCTGATACTTGGAGAAAACAAAAAGTTATCTCTCATATCCTTTTTTTTCTGTCAGTCGTGGGGCTTGAACTCTGGGCTTGGGCGCTGTCCTTGCGCTCTTCAGCTCAAGGCGAGTGCTCTACCACTTGAGCCACAGCGCCACTTTCGTTTTCTAGTGGTTTATTGGAGATAAGATTCTCACGGACTTTCCTGCCCGGGCTGGCTTTGAACTGCGATTCTCAGATCTCAGCCTCCTGAGTAGCTAGGATTACAGGCGTGAGCTACTGGTGCCCAGCTTATCTTTTTTTTTTTTTTTTTTGGTGCTTATCCTGAGGCTTGAACTTACAGGCCTGAGCCATCAGTGCTTGGCTCATGTCATTTTTCTTTTTGACTGGTCTTGGGGCTTGAACTCAGAGCTTGGGCGTTATCCCCGCGCCTCCCTGTGCTCAAGGCTAGCATTCTACAACTAGAGTCACAGCACAACTTCTGGCCTTTTCTGAATAGTCTAATGGGCTTTTCTGCCCTGACTATCTTTGAATTGTGATCCTCAGATCTCAGCCTTCTGAGTAGCTAGGATTATAGGCCACTAGGTACTAGGTATTAAGTACTACGATTACTGGTTAGCCACCACCTGTGCCCTACCATACCCTTTTTATATATTTGAGTCAAGTGTTGAGTATATTAGGGATGCTGAACCTGAGTATTAAGGAAGCCTTGCTTTTTATGGAGAGTTTAAATTTAAATTTATTTATAGATGAGGCCATTATTTTTGCTACCTAGTATAAGTTGGTAAAATGTGCTAAATTTCTTAGTATTTTGGAAGGATATTGTATTGTATTTTTTTTTTTTTAACCTAAGTGTAAATGAGAGAAAGTTTTAAAAGAGACACTGTAAAGGAAAAAAACCCCCACAAAATACAGAATATGGTGTTTAGCTAGTCTGATGGTACTTATTAATTTTTTGTTAGCATACATTGTATAGAATGAGGGATTTCATTTTAATATTTGTGTACATATATATGTTTATATATAATGTACTTTCATCATTTTACCCCCTCTATTCTTTTAATTGTGTAAAGGGTATTTTAATCCAACATGTTAGTTTATAAGCATAGTGCTTCTTGATCAATTATTTTCTTATTCCCCTTCTCCCTTATCTGTCCCTATATTAAATGTTTTTGCAAATCTTTTAAATGAGTCTTTTGTCATTTTTATATGGGTCTCATGTCTTTCATATGAGCATATTTTGATCATATTCTCCTGTATGCTCTGTTTTTCTCCTCCTAATGATTCTACCCCATGTAGTTCCCCTTTAATGTTGATGTGTGTTTTCTTTTATTCTTTTAGATGTAGATTCCACATTAAAAAAATGCAGTACTTGTCTGAGTCTGTTTTTTTTGTTTGTGATGGTATTGGGTTTGAATTCAGGGCCTACTGCTTGCTAGGCAAGTGCTCTACTATTTTTTGCTTTATTTTTCATATAGGGTCTGTCTTTGCACATACCTGTCCTCAGTCCCTGATTCTATTACCTTTGGTCCCCATATAGCTGGGATTAGAAACATAAGCCACCTTGGGTGGCTTGTTTTTGAGGTGTAAGGTTTTGCCCTATACCTTGAGAGGCACTACATTGGCCTCAAGCTATGATTCTTCTATCTCCAGCCCTTGTGTAGCTGGCATGCCCTACTGTGCCTATGTAATCTGTCCTATTTTACTTAATAGGATAATCTCTACCTCCATCCAGTTCCTTTTTTCATTTTCCAAATTATGCAATTTCATTCTTTATGGCTGAATAGTACTCGTGTGTGTGTGTGTGTGTGTGTGTGTGTGTGTGTGTGTGTGTGTGTGTGTGTGTGTGTGTGTGTGTGTGTGTGTGTGTGTGTGTGTGTGTGTGTGTGTGTGTGTGTGTGTGTGTGTGTGTGTGTGTGTGTGTGTATTTTAGTGCTTGAACTAAGGGTCTGAGTGCTATCCCAGAACTTTTTTGCTCAAGGCTAGTGCTTTTCCACTTAAGCCAAAACTCCCCATCCAGATTTTTTTGTGGTTAATTGGAGATTAGAGTCTTATGGACTTTCCTGCTTAGGCTGCCTTCAAACTGCCTCAGGTTTCAGCTTCCTGAGTAGCTAGCATTATAGGTATGAGCCCCTAGTGCCCAGTTTTGTTTTATTTTTTGCCAGTCCTGTGGCTTTAACTCAGGACCTGGGTACTGTACCTGAGCTTCTTTGTGCTCAAGGCTAGTGCTCTACCACTTGAACCACAGTGCCACTTCTGACTTTTTCAGAAGTGGTTTATTAGAGATAAGTGTCTCAAGAACTTTTCTGCTTGGACTAACCTTGAACTTCTATCCTTAGATCTCTGCTCCCTGAGTAGCTAGGATTACAGACGAGAGACACCAGCATCTAGCTCCTGCTTTATTTTTTGATGGTGTTTCTTTAAATATTTGGACCAAGACTTATAGTGAGGAAATTCTAATATCTTAGATATGACTAGTGGGGAAAATGTTTTCTGGGGATTTTCCCAATCTCTTAATTTGATGTTGAAATGTAGAAACACTATACTGTGACTTATGTTGCTTCTCATATGAGTTATTTGTCTCCTCTGATCATTTCCCTCCCACCTTCACCCCTTTCCCCCAGGATTACAGGTGTGAGCAACTGGTCCTGGGGCTGAGGTTTGAACTCAGGGCCTGGGTGCTATCCCTGAACTCTTTTTGCTCAAAGCTCAGTGCTGTACCATTTGAGCCATAGCTCTACTTCTGGCTTTTTTTTTTGTGTGTGTGTGTGTCTGGTCCTGGGGCCTGAGTGCTGTCCCTCAGCTCTTAGCTGACGGCTAGCATTCTACCACTTGAGCTACAGCGCCACTTCTGGCTTTTTTCTTTTTGTTTATGTGGTGCTAAGGAATCGAACCCAGGGCTTCATGCATGCAAGGCAAGTGCTGTACCACTGAGCCACCTTCCCAGCCCCTCTGCTTCTGGCTTTTTGAAGGTTAATTGAAGATGAGAGTCTTGTGGACTTTTCCTGCCCTGACTGGCTTTGAACTGAGATCCTCAGATGCCAGCCTCCTGAGTAGCTGGGATTACAAGCATGAACCACCAACATCTGGCTTTTTTTTTTTTTTAATTGTAATGGTTCTAGTCTTCCATTTCTTTGTTGATTTTATTTTAGGTAAGCTTTGAAGTGGTTTTAATTTGGCTTGGAATGTTGATGGGTGGTAAAATACTTTTCCATCATGTGTGAGACTCTTGAGTTTCATCCCAGCCCCTTAACAAAAAAAAAGTTTAGATTTAATTAAATTAGGTTTAATTAAATTAAAGATTTTGATTGAGAATATAGTATATATGTAACCTTAAAAAATTAGTTTACATGGAAGTGGCGCTGTGGCTCCAGTGGTAGAGCCCTAGCCTTGAGCTCTGAGGATCTGAGGGACAGCACCCAGGCCCAGAGTTCAGGCCCCATGACCGGCAAAAAAAAAAAAAAAAAAAAAAATTAGTTTACTGCTGGGTGCCGGTGGCTCCTGCCTGTAGCCCTAGCTTCTCAGGAGACTGAGATCTGAGGATCATGGTTCTGGTAAGGAAAGGCTGTGAGACTCTTATCTCCAATAGCCCCACAACCGACAAAAAATAAAAACTAAAAAAAAAAAAATGGGTTTGCATTGCTGTTTATATTTCCCCCCTTCTGGAATTTGGAATGTCTTGCTAATTTATTTTAAAAATTAAAACCATGCGCCAAAGATTGAATGTCAAATATTAAATAGTATTTCAATACTCTATATGTAACTTTGTATTTTATATTACTATTATATTACCTCATCTCAATTATTTGAGTCTTTAGCAATTTGGAAGGGAATGTGACCATTACATATTTCTTCAAATTCTCTTGAAGCTGAAAGTATATTTCTTGCAGATGTTATGTGATATGGGTGACTTTCTTTTGTAGGAATAGTCAGGAGGCAAAGGTTCAACTGAAAGATAATGTATGGACAATGCCAAGAGTGACCTAGGTGATTCCTTCCCAAAACAAGGAGTGAAGACCTCTAATTTTCTGTTGTGTGGAGATCAACAAAATAGAGTTTGCTCTTTCATGAGTAATTTTTTCTCATCTGAACATTAACTGTTTCATAATGATTGACAATTCTTCCTTTTCAGGTAACATTACTTTTGTTGAGTAATTGTTTTCTTTTTCCTTCTGACAGAGATCTATTCGATCTTTTGCCAATGATGATCGCCATGTCATGGTGAAACATTCAACAATTTATCCATCTCCAGAGGAACTTGAAGCTGTTCAGAATATGGTGTCTACTGTTGAATGTGCGCTTAAACATGTCTCAGATTGGCTGGATGAAACAAATAAAGGCACAAAAACAGAGGGCGAGACAGAAGTGAAGAAAGATGAGGCTGTAGAAAACTATTCCAAGTGAGTGTGGATTGGCCTTTGTGATGCTTTGCTGCGGTAGACAGAAAAGCTCAAGGTTCCAGGCCTTGAGTTTGAACCACAGTACCAAGAAAAAAAAGGCAGAAAAACAAAAAAGCTGGAGGATTCTCTGGCTATATGCTATTCTTTATATATGAATATAACCTAGGAAGTAGATGTTACGTGGAATTTTTCTGAATAAAGTATTTTTATGATCTGAGAACCAGACAATCCATTGAGGCATGGTTAAATGTGACAAAAAAAATTTATTTACACTATTTATACCAGAAAAGGGGCCTGCGACTACCTTGTCCTGGGTTAGCTATCCAGAACCAAGAGCAGCCTCCACTACCAAACTTTCAAAGCTTCCATTGTGTAGCCCTGACCTGTATTCTACCCAGAACTAAGAGCACCCTTGGCCACCAAACTTCCAAGCCTCCAAAAGGAAGGCTTTTCTTTTTCCTTCCTTCCTTCCTCCTCTGCAGGCCTCTCCACAGGCCTCTTTGCATGCTTCTCTGCAGGCCTCAGGCCTCAGGCCTCTCCATAGGCCTGCCCAGCTTTGTTCTGGTAGGCACCTCTTGCTGTCTTTCTCCTGTCTCTCTTTCCACCACCTGCTCCTTGGAACACACAGCCTATATATAGGCTGTGCCCCTTCCCTACTCAAACAGGTCTAACAGTTTCAACCCCAGCTCATGCCCCTCCTCCAAGCTGCCCACTGTCCAACTACTTCTTGACATCTCTTGACCACTCTTGACAGGCCACCCTCTCCAGTGGGCTGGACTGTGGCCCTGCTGTTACTACAATGTGAAAGAAAGCAAGAAGGAGTAATGATTAGAGCAGAAGATTATGTTTCCTTTTCAGAGAGTAGCAAGTCCTTTAAAACCCTTTACATTTGAAGGTTATGAGATGCCATCTTTTTGCTATGTTGGTTCAACCTTTTAAATTCTGAAATAGGGAAAATTTCTAAAATACTGTTTGTATTAGACATATAAAAATCTAGTGTTAGAAGAAGGTTATAACATTGTGTCTTACATGTCATATATGTTCATTTTGTATTTGTGGAATGAAAGCAGTTCTAATGGGAACCAGCTCCTGCAATGGTCACAGTGCAGTGTTGTAAATATTGTAGCAATAGTGGCAATGGTGACAGCAGTCCTATCGTGAGACGATGGTATACTAAGCTTAAAGTTACTGCTTTGAGCCGGACGCTGTTGGCTCACACCTGTAATCCTAGCTACTCAGGAGGCTGAGATCTGAGGATCATGGTTCAGTTCAAAGCCAGCCCTGGCAAGAAAGTCCGTGAGACTCCTTTTTGTGGGGGGGGAGGGGGGTGGGTCTAGTGGTGGGGCCTGAACTATGGGCCTGCGCTGTCCCTCAGCTCAACGCTAGCACTCTATCACTTGAGCCACAGTGCCACTTCCGGCTTTTTTCTTTTTTGCTTATGTCGTGCTGAGGAATTGAACCCAGGGCCTCATGCATGCAAGGCAAGCGCTCTACCACTGAGCTACCTTCCCAGCCCCTGTAAGACTCTTATCTCCAGTTAATCACCAGAAAATTAGAATTGGCACTGTGGCTCAAGTGGTAGAGCACTTGCCCTGGGCTGAAGAGCTCAGGGACAGTGCCCAGCCCAGAGTTCAAGCCCCATGACGGACACCCCCGCATCCCCCACCCCCCAAAAAAAAGTTACTACTTTGAGCAGTGTCACTATAATTGGATTAATATATAACTTATTTGGAAAGATAAAGTTTATTTGATTATACCATATTAATAGGTTTAGAAACATTGCTTTCTATAAAACTTTTCTAAATGGAAGATGGATTTCAGAATTTTTCCAGCTTTCAATTCTATGTTAAGATAATAAGTAGATAAAGATTGATGGGAAGTCATTGGTAAATCTTAATCAAAGAGGGTATGTTATTTACTTTTTAGTTGAAAGATGATAAATGTTAGTTTGTTGTTGAAGAGCATAATTGCTTTACTTTGTTCACTATTTATAAGTAGTTGTACATCATATAGGTAGTGAGCGCAAGTATATCTATCATCAGTTTGTAGAGTCTTGGGATTTGATTTTTCTCATATGTGATAGTTGAAAAATGAGATTGTCTAATTTGACTTCATGTTAATTAGTACCATTATCAAGTGATTGTATTTGTAATACTCTTTGATACCTGGCTCTGTATGTGTTCTTGTACCACTTCTCCAGATTCAGATTTTACTTTCATCTGTGTTGTTGTTTTTTCCAAATTAAAAAAAATTGTACTCCATGTATGCATATATACACACAGTCATACATGTGTAAATTTGTTCTTTTTATTTTTGGCTGTATGGGAGCTTGAACTCAGGCCCTCTAGCTCTTAGCCTTTTTGCCAGATGCTAGCTTTCTACCACTTGAACCACCCCTTCATTTTTTGGCTTTTTGCTGGCTTCAAACCTCCATCCTCAAATCTTAGCCTCCTGAGTAGCTAGGATTTCTGTTGTGTACCTCTGTAGCCTGGCTAAATTTGTCATTTTTATAATTTCAAAGCATAGTTTCTCCTTTATTATTTCATTAGTTTGGGTTTAAAAAAAATATACCTTCTAGCTAGGTATCAGTGGCTCACGCCTGTAATCCTAGCTACTCACGAAGCTGAGATTTGAGGATCCTGGTTCAAAGTCAACCTTGGGGAAGAATGAGAGTAGTCTTATCTCTGAAATGGCCAGAAATGTGTCTGTGGCTCAGAGGGGTGGAGTACTTGCCATTAGCACAAAAACTCAGGAACAGTGCCCAGTCCCTGAATTCAAACCCAGGACAGGCACCAAAAATAAAACAAAATACACCTTCTAATATTTTTTTCTTAAAATTGGCATACTTTTGATAAAATGCTTCTAGAGATAGGCTTTTGCTTACCTGGATGAAGAGATTGTGCTTCAGTTTCTGGTGTAAATTCTGAAAGCTTAGAACAGGCTGAGTTGATGTATGGATCTAGAAATTAGAAAATGCTTTACCAGGGAAGTAGCATTTGAGATAGGTGCAGAAGATGAGGTCAGGTTTTGGGAAGTAGTGAAAGAAGAACTAAAATCTCAACAAAGCTCAAAGCTTAGGTATGAGAAAAGTCTAGGGACTGTTTAAGAAATAAAAGCTATTTTTTGAACTATTGAACTATGCTGAGCTCTGGCAGTTTATTAAATAAATTACATTGTATTCTTAGTATCACTGTATGAGAAAATAATAATAATAATAATAATATTTTTTGGGGGGGGTCAGTTGTGGGGCTTGAACTCTGGGCCTCGGTGCTGTCCTGCAGCTCTTCAGCTCAAGGCTAGCGCTCTGCCACTTGAGCTACAGCACCACTTCTGATTTTCTGGTTGTTAATTGGAGATGAGGGTCTCACAGACTTTACTGCTCCGGTTGGCTTTGAACCATGATCCTCAGCCTCCTGAGTAGCTAGGATTACAGGCGTGAGCTACCGGTACTTGGCACAAATTATTTTGTTTTATAAATGAAGAAGTAAGCTCAAAAGAGTCAAGTATATGTACTTTGTTCATTGTCAGCAAAGTGACAGAGCCAGGATTCAGAGGGAATCATGCTGCCTTCTAAATTGCCTTCCAGGGGCTGGGAAGGTGGCTCAGTGGTACAGCGCTTGCCTTGCATGCCTGAGGCCCTGGGTTCGATTCCTCAGCACCACATAAGCAAAAAGAAAAAAAAAAGCCGGAAGTGGCGCTGTGGCTCAAGAGGTAGAGTGCTAGCCTTGAGCTGAAGAGTTGAGGGACAGCGCCCAGGCCCAGAGTTCAGGCCCCAGGACCGGACCCCCCAAAAAAAAAATGCCTTCCAATATTGATGTCCATGTGTTGAATGGAATGTCAAGGAAAATAATAGGTGGAGTGTTATCCAAGTCATACCTTTGGGAGCTTATTCCAGTAAGGTCTTTGAGGAGGGAATTGAGAAGTAATAAGAACTTAGACTAGTGTGAAGGCAAGGCTTGACAGTTATTATGGAGGAGGAATGTATAAACCATTATTAGATTAATGAGGAGAGAATGAGATGACAGGAGTACATAAGTAACAATCAAAGCTGACTGTCTACCTACACTTGGGTCACTTTTTTTTCCAACATTTACTTTTAGCTCAGGTGCACACCTGTAATTCCATCTACTCTGGGCAGTGAGTTAGGAGAGCATGGTTTAAGGTCAGCCCCTGAAAAAAGCTAGCAAGACCTTGTCTCAAAAATAGCAGTATGTGGCAGTGTATACCTTTGGTTTCAGCTACTTTGGAGGCAGAGTAGGAAGATTGAGGTCTGAAGCCGGACTTGGCAGAGACACTACCTGAAAAATAAAGTAAAAAAAAGCAAAAGGACTCGGCGGAGCAGGGGAGCACTTGTCTAACAAGCTTAAGGCCCTGAGTTCAAGCTACAGAATTACAAGACAAAACAAAACCAACACAAAAGACCACATATTTCCTTCTATACTTGTTCCACCTTTATAGTTTTTCATTGATTTAATATATATTGTATCTATAAGGTATCTAGGGAGTGAATCAGTAGCTGAGTTATTTATAACTTCCTGTCTAGTTTCCACTGCCACAATTATTTATTTATTTTTGTCTGTTGTGGGGTCTGAACTCTGGGCCTGGACACTGTCCCTCAGCTCTTCAGCTGACGGCTAACACTCTACCACTTGAGCCACAGTGCCATTTCTGGCTTTTTCTGCTTATGTGGTGCTGAGGAATCAAACCCAGGGCCTCATGCATGCAAGGCAAGCACTCTACCACTGAGCCACCTTTCTAGCCCCCACTGCCACAATTTTTTTTCCTTCTTCATTTCATTCTCAACTCCACTATCTTGCCCCACTGCTCATCTTCGCTTCTATCTGGAATGATCTTTCTTCCATCTATTTAAATCAAGACTATCTAAGTCAAACTCTCAGATTGCTTTGCTTGACCTCTTTAATTAATTAACTACTAATTAATTTTTTGTTGGTCATGGGGCTTGAACTCTGGGCCTGAGGGCTGTCCTTCAGCTCTTCAGCTCAAGGCTAGCGCTCTACCACTTGAGCCACAGTGCCACTTCCGGCTTTTTTTCTCTTTGCTTATGTGGTGCTGAGGAATTGAACCCAGGGCCTCAGGTATGCAAGGCAAGCGCTCTACCACTGAGCCACCTTCCCAGTCCTGGGGAATGCAGTTATTTTCTTAAGGTTTGTATTCTTTATCTTCCAGATGCAGTTCCCTTCCCATATGTTGCTTTCTTTTCCCCTTTTAAGCATGGTACCTAATTTGTTAATGCTTTTGTTACTTAGCCATAGTGTACAACTTGGGAGCAGCAGAGACTGTATCTCCTTTTATATTTTCCATATTCAAACTTGGTTACTTGTTGAGTGACTAATAAGCTTAATGAATATTATTTTTTTGATTAAAGAAAATGAACCAATATGGAGTTTTTCATACTAAATTCCAAGATAGATAAAAAATTTTTTTCTAAAATAATATTCATGATTTGATATTCTTCGAGTGTTTGCTCTTAGCTACTCTTAGATTTGGAATATAGTTGCTGACAGATTTCCATGTTTTCTTTCCTCAGCTCTGTACTTACCACATTTCTCAGTTTTTTTCATAAGTTTTTGTGGATTTCTACAATGATACAGCTAAGGGGAGGAGTTTAGCTCATAAAACCAGTGGCCATTTTACTATTGTAGATACCAGCAGACACAACCTGAATTTAGATGGTTTACATTTCTACCCTGCTACTTTTTTTTGGTATACCATGGTATTGATGTTTCTCAAACATTCTTTAAATTACTACTAAAAAAAATTAAGAGGTTTAAACAGTTTTCTTAGTGTACCAATACTGGGACTTGAATTTATGGCTAGGGTACTGGCCCTGAGCTTTTTAGCTCTAGGCTGGCACTCTACCACTTGAGCCACAGCTCCACTTCTGGCTTTTCTGTGGCTAATTGGAGATAAGAGGCTCATAGACTTTCCTGCCTGGGTTGGCTTCAAATAATAAAAATAGATATCGCTTTCTGAGTAGCTAGGATTATGGGCATGAGGCACGAAGGTCTGCCAAAAAAACCCAAAAAAAATTTTGGAAAAACTTAAGGGAATATAGTATATTTTAGATTTCTTAAGCAGGGGCTGGGAAGGTGGCTCAGTGGTAGAGCGCTCGCCTTGTATGCCTGAGGCCCTGGGTTCAATTTCTCAGCACCACATAAGCAAAAAGAAAAAAGCCAGAAGTGATGCTGTGGCTCTTGTGGTAGAGCGCTAGCCTTGAGCTGAAGAACTGAGGGACAGCGCCCAGGCCCAGAGTTCAGGCCCCATGACCGGACTAAAAAAAAAAAAATTTCTTAAGCAATAAAAATGAAATAAAAGACTTATATGAAACATGTGCTATTGAATCCTTTGGGAAGGTAGATGCTATATTTGTCTTAACTCTGAGATCTGAAATGAGTGTGTGTGTGTGTGTGTGTGTGTGTGTGTGTGTGTGTGTGTGTTTATATATGTTTGTGCTGGGCGTTGGGCCTGAATTCCATGACCTGGGTGCTGTCCCTTAGCTGTGTTTAAGTACTTAAGTACAGTTCTACTGATGGCTTAATTGATGATTAAATGGAGATAAGATTCTCACAAACTAGCCGGGCACTGGTGGTTCGCACCTGTAATCCTAGCTACTCAGGAGGCTGAGATCTGAGGATCGTGGTTCAAAGCCAGCCCGGGCAGGAAAGACGGTGAGACTCCTATCTCCAATAAATCACCAGAAAACCGGAAGTGGCGCTGTAGCTCAAGTGGTAGAGCGCTTGCCTTGATCTGAAGAGCTGAGGCACAGCACTCAGGCCCAGAGTTCAAGCCCCACAACCGACCAAAAAAAAAAAAAAAAAAAGATTCTCACAAACTTTCTAGCCTGGGGCTGGCTTTGAACTGAAATCTGTAGATCTCAGCCTCCGGAGTAGCTAGGATTACAGGCTTAAGCCACCAGCCTCTGACTGGTGTGTAGATTTTTGAATGTCAATTGACAGAATCCCGTATGAGTTTGTATGGACTTCCAGGAAGCCAAGAGATGATTAAGTTATATTTTGGGAAATGGTTGTAAAAGTGCATAACACAGAGCTTTATGTTTAGGGATCAGCGAGGTCGGACATTGTGTGGGGTAATGAGGATTGGACTGGTTGCAAAAGGCTTACTGATTAAGGATGATATGGACTTGGAGCTGGTTTTAATGTGCAAAGACAAACCCACAGAGACCCTGCTAACTACAGTGAGAGATAATCTTCCTGTACAGATTCAGGTGAGTATGGTTTAAATTGCATCTTAACAGGAGAATTTAAAAACAAAAAATCAGGCATTGGCCTTGATGAATTTATTAGGAAGAATTGGTCATGTGAGTAAGCACAGACAGAAAGAATGCTACTAGTGTGGGCCAATAGCTGATTAGTACTCGAAATATACTTACCAGATTACAATGGCTATTAAGGCACAGTCTTAAACATTTGAATTATACCTTACTGCATGTCTTTTTCTTTGTTTTTTTCTTTCTTGCTTTCTCTCTCTTCCTCTTTCTCTCCTCTCCTCTTTCTTCCTCCCCTCCCCTCCCCTCCCCTTCCCTCCTCCCCTTTCTTCCCCTCCCCACCCCTCCTCTCCCTTCCCTTCCCTTCTCCTCTGTGGTTCTCGGGTTTAAACTCAGGACTGCTCAATTGACAGGCAGGTCACTTGGACCCCACCCTAAGACCAGAATCCGTTTTTTCCAAACTAGAGATCTCGGCATTATCCATTATCCGGTTCTTGGAAGAGTTGGTCCAGGTGCAAGAAAGAATTTAAATGTCAATGAGAGCCTACATTACTAGACTTTTAGACTTTACTTTTCAAATCGAAGAGTCAGTTGTCTGTTCGGTTCATAGAAAGTCTTTTTCTTTGCTTTAAATGTTTTTAGCTTTGCACTTAGAAAAGTTTAGTATTGGTATGTTCTCTGGAGAATGCTACTGAAGGCTAAAAGCTCCTCAGAGATAAAGGTAGGGTCTGGGGCTCAGGTTATCCCTGCCCTGCCAGCTAGCTTCAGGGGCAGTGTTCAACAGTGAATGGGAACTGGTAATCATCTTTCAGTTTTAGATGCATTAGATATATTTTATGTGATTGAATTATAGTGGTTCCTGTCACAGAGTTGTTAGCCTTGTGGTCCAAACCTTGAGTTGTTGAATGTTCCTGTTTGTTTTATACATTTTTCTGTACTTACCAAATGGACTTCAAAACTCTCTCTTCTGATAATATTTGGGACCCTTTTATTATTCTTTCTTAAATCTTAAGTTTTTTTTTTTTTTTTTTTAAAACTGGGGTTCGAACTTGGCCATGTTCTTGCTAGTAAAGTATGCTTTCCCTAAGTGAAAGAAAATACTTGGCTTGTCATTTTCAATTTCGATGAAGAAATGGTTCCTGATATTTCAGGAAATTATTTTAAGTGTGGCCTTCACATTTTCCCCTCTACTCTACTTGAATAGTGTTTGTGTGGAATAACAATATCTGATAGGACTTTTCAAAAAATAAATTAAAGGACCTGGGAAGATGGCTCAGTGGTAGACTGCTTGCCTAGCGTGCATGAGGCCTGGGTTCCATTCCTCAGCACCACATAAACAAAGTGGTGCTGTGGCTTAAGTGGTAGAGCGCTAGCCTTGAGCTGAAGAGCTGAGGGACAGTGCCCAGGCCCAGAGTTCAGACCCCACAACTGTCAACAAACAAACCAAAAAAAAACCAAGCTTTTTTCTGAACATTTACTATAGCAAAACTTCAGTTTTCTAAGTACTTTAATTAAGTTTTAAACAAATGTACCTTACAGTGATTCTAAAACTTCTTATTCAAAGGAGAACAAATAACAAACCCCAAATCACTTAAAATTAGTCCAAAACTCATACTTTGCCTATTACTTTTGATGTATCTTATGGTCATCTGTGTGCATTACTAAAAATTGAGTTTGACTTATTCTCCAATAGATACCTTTTATGGCATTTTGCCGGCAAAGCGAATGTTAAGCAGTTTGCTGCTGCTGCTGGTTATGGTTCTTCCATTCATCTGGCTGATTGGTCTAAATGATGTGTTGTAAGGGAAGTGTAGAAAAGAAGTTACTTGTTTATACTCATCCTTTTTTGACTTTTGTCAAAAAAGCTATCATAGAGAGTATTCTGAGCTATTTGTTATTCTACCATAGTTGTCTATAATACTTTGAAGAGCATCGTTGCATAATGGTGTTGTTGACATTTTTCTTAAATATTGGAAAGATTGGTTTTAAATATTGTTTCATCATTATATGGGTGTTTGACATTGTGATTGTTTTATTTAGAGGTAGAGAAAAGATTTGCTTATAAGTTGGGATTACAGAAATGTTATTCCCTCTTCCCCCAAGGTGCAGAACTAGTTAAGGACTTTAGGGATTTTAATCTAATTAATTGTATGTTTTTGAAATCTTGTTGACTTTCAGAAACTGACAGAAGAAAAATACCAAGTGGAACAATGTGTAAATGAGGCATCTATTATAATTCGGAACACAAAAGAGCCAACATTAACTCTGAAGGTGATACTTACTTCCCCTCTAATTAGGGACGAATTGGAGAAGAAGGATGGAGGTACACGTGTGTATATATATATATGCATATATATACATATATATGTATTGTTTTGTTTTGTTCATCTAAGAATTCTCTTCAGTGCTATGTTAATATGCTTCATAGCTTTAGAAAATCATAGTTTCATTTGTTTTATGGCATTTATACTATTTTAAACAGTGTTTTTCTACATAATTAGTATTTCTCAAAAATGTGCAATATCAAAATATAAAATATGTTTATTAAAAAACTTGATCTTAACCATGTGGATCTAACCATTTGTTTTTCTATTTTACTGTATTTAACATTACATTAAGTAATTAGCCAGTATTGGCCAAATATTAGCCAACTTAGTCTATGTATTTTATCTTGGTCTCATTTTAGGATTAGATGTGGTCCAAAATAGAATTGTTTTCAAAGACATTCATTTCAAAATTACTTACATATTGCTATTGACTTCTAATAGCTATATTACTTGTGTAAATTTTCTGACTTACTTAATTACCCATGCTTAGATGTGTTATAATAGTGTAAAGGGTATGAACTGGGGATTCTTAAAGCCTCTTAAAGAGTCTTGTAAGTATGCTATTTGTTAGAATTATGAATTACATTTTCTTCTGAAGTTAAAAAGAACTTAGCATTTATATGACATTGTTATCCTCATAAAAGTAGAGTATGAAATCTTATTATTGGCAGTTTTGAGAAGTAATGATGGAATTGTGGTGAGTTTCTTTTCCTAATGCTTTTGGTAGCTTGTTTCTCAGTCCTGTACCAAGAAATTTGCCTTGTGATAATTTTTCCTGTGTAAAACCTTTGAACAACTGGTACTCTGTCATGACAGTTTTGAGGCACTTTGTGGGCAATTGTGAAAAGAAATAGTGATTAGCTTCATAGTTTAATTCAAGTTGATGATAAGGGTCTAAAAAGGTACATTTATTATATAAAGTTCTATTTTTGATTTTTGGTTGGCATGATTTATAGAATCTTTGAACTAAAAATGATAGACCCTTAAAACCATTTATTTTTGTGCTGCTACTAGAGCTTGAACTCAGGGCCTTCTACTTTTTCTGCTCATGTCTGGTGTTCTACCACTTGAGCCATACCTCTGATTCAATAGCTTAGTCTTTTTTGGGAGAATGATGGTATCTGCTGGTACTCAAGCTTGAACTCCGGTCTTCCTCTTGCTCAGCTTTTTCCACTCAGGACTGGTGCTCTACCACTTGAATCACCTCTCTAATCTTCATAGATTATTTTTAGAGAACAGTGTTTAGGGTTGACTAAAGTATGGATTTTATATACAATGGATGTTATAAGCAAGATATATTTCTGAGTCATACTTTAAGCAAAGTATATCTAATCTATAGTGGTTTTATGCTTGTACCGTTTTCTCCTAAATATAGTATCTATAGCACCTCTGAAGAGGTTCAGTACTAGATGCCAGTCCTAGGGCTTGAACGAAGGGCCTGGGCTAGCACTTGACCCACAGTTCTATCAAGAATCTTGCCATTTGATAACTGGCTTTTTGCTGGTTAATTGGAAATGAGAATCTCATGGACTTTGCTGCCTGGGCTGGCTTTGAGCTGTGGTCCTCAGATCTCAGCTTCCTGATTAGCTAGGATTATAGGCATGAGCCCCACCAGTACCTGGTGTAAATTAAATAACTTTTTTTTTTTTAAACAGCAGTTCTGATTTCTGATATGTCAATGTTAATCTTAGTAAGCTGTATTCTTCTTGACCTATAATTTCGAAGTAGAATTATAATTAGAGGTCTTATCATTTGAGTATAGGAAGTTGGGAAAAAAAACCAGGTTGTCAAAGACAAAGTTAATTATGTTTGCTTATGCCTACTGATATGCTTTCCAACCTCTTTAGATATAAGATGTCAGATCCCCTACCTGGGATTTTGTTGTAGTTTTCAGTGATGCCTTTAAGCTTATATAGCTTGTTGTCCTTCTAATCTTTTTTTTTTTTCTTGGCCAGTCCTGGAGCTTGAACTAAGGGCCTCGGCATTATCCCTGAGCTTTTGCTTAAGGCTAGCGCTCTACCAATTGAGCCATAGCACCATTTCTGGCTTTTTCTGTTTATGTGGTACTGAGGAATGGAACCCAGGGCTTCATGCATGCTAGGCAAGCACTCTGCCACTAAGCCACATTCTCAGCCCTGTCCTTATAATCTTTTTTTTTTTTTGGTCGGTTGTGGGGCTTGAACTCTGGGCTTGGGCACTAACCTTCAGCTCAAGGCGAGCGCTCTACCGCTTGAGCCACAGCACCACTTCCCTGTCCTTGTAATCTTAATTTTTGTTTTAGACAAGCTGAAAACAGATTTTTGGTGCTGAAATATATTTACTTACTATTACTACAAAGAGATCTGTAATAAAGTAGAAGAGTTTAAGGCATTAGATAGTAAGGATCCCAAGACTTCTATGAGCTGACTAATGTGTGAAATTAGGAAAGGCAAAGCAATCAGTTTGGATCTAATATTTTATACTTACTTCCTCTCCTTTTGCATGGCAACAAGATTTGCTTTGCTATAGTCCTTCCTGTCTACTCTTCGTACAATTTACTCATTTTGTCTAATCTGGGTTTTGTCAAACACAGTCGTGTGTGTCTGTGTGTGTGTCTGTGTGTGTGTGTGTGTGTGTGCGCGCGCGCGCGCATGTGCACGTGCGTGCACAAACACATGCCAGTATGCCAGTCCTGGGGCTTGAACTCAGGGACCCTTAGCATGTTTTGCTCACAAGGCTAACATTCTGCCACCTGAGCCAACTACTTTTGACTTTTTGGTGGTTCTTTGAAGATAAATGTCTCACAGACTTTTCTGCTCATGATCACCAGATTTCAGCCTCTTGAGTAGCTAGGATTACAGGAACGTGCCACTGGCACCCAGCCTAAACACAATCTTTATTCTTTGCTAGGTTTTGTGTTTTTTTGACAATTGAATGAACATTTGAGTTCTGGGCTCTGCAGCTCTGTTTGCTCATTCTAGACACTCTTTTCAGCTGCACGAGATAAAAGTACAGGATGCATTTAGGTTCAGAGAATTTCTGGGATTGAAAGGTAGCTACCATCCCTGTCCTGTTTTTTTCTACACCTTTAAATAAGTTTGTACTCATTTTCTTTCTCAGAATAAACAGACATAAACTTTGTGGCATCCCTTATCCTTGTAGTATCTTGACTTTATTCAATTCACAATACATACCCTGTCACACAATCCTCCTCCCCCAATTATTGTCATATTAACTGGGAAAATCTGAGAGAGAAAAACATAGCTGAGCTAGGTACTGTGATTCAAACCTGTAATCCCAGCTACTTGTGGTTATGGGTTGCTTATTGGGAGGATTTCTGTGAGAGGCTAGTCCCAGGCAATAATCTCTTAAGATCTCTATCTTTCAAAAAAGCTAGGTATAGTAGTGCATGCCACTAACCCCAGTTATGTAGAAACCAAAAGTAGAACAATTATAACCCATGCTTGTATGTGAAACCCTGTGTGAAATAAAATGAGAGTAAAAAGGGTCTGGTTGTAGCCCAAGTAGTATAGTGCTTGCCAAGCAAGCATAGGGAGGGTCTTAAGTTCAAACTTTGGTACCACTGTTCCCTTCCTGCCTAAAAAAGGAAAAAAAATGAAATGGAAAAGCATGGTAGAGAGCAGCTAGAAACCAAAGAATCATCAAGTTTATCTTGGCATTGTCTGTGCAGAAGTAAATTGGAATCATAGTAACCACTTGTTCCAGATCACATTTTTTTACATGTCCATACTACACAATGATTACCTGTGGTATCTGTGGTATCTATGTTACCATCAATGTTCTAATCATTTGCCTGAAAGCCTTCTAGAATTACAATTTTCCCTGTGTAGTATGTTTTCTTCTAAAGAAGGTATAGGAGATAAAAGCACAGACCTTGTATGTGGTAGTCTAGTGTACAGTTCTTAACTCCATTAGTATTGCCTTGTGAGTTTGGGCAAGTTTCTTTATTTTAAAATATGGATAATAAAAACTTTACAAAGTTGTTCAAAGGTTGAGAGAATTTATATAATGTGAGTTGTATAACATTGTTATAAAATAGTTGCTTAGTAAATATTGGTAGTTAGTCACTTACTAAAGATTGAAGTGCAAAATCATTTACTCAGGCTGCCTTAACAATCAGAGTAAATGTGTATTGTAGGTTTAGAGACCTATACCTAAACATAGCTAACTCAAACACTCATTAAAGTATAGTATTAGATTCAGCATGCAGTGTCTTCTGTAGTGTTAATAATGATCTGTTTTATTTTTTAATGTACGATCCATTGATGATAGGAAAGTTTTCCTGTCCTTGTCCTTTATCCATAGCACCTGGAATGATAACCTAATTAAATTACCAAAAGAATACTACATCTAAGTCTGTAGAGTGAATAGATATAGTCAGCATATTGTCTGATTAAGTAGTACTGTCCAGTGTATAAGAAAGAAGCATTAAAATGGGCAGCATCTCATAGGTCAAGTACTATATTATTGAAGATCTAGTTTTGTTAATATATCTTATAACCTGCGTGTGTGTGACAAGAATTTCTCATGTGTGATTTATTAAAAACAACAACAAACAAATCCTCACAACAGCCCTATAAGGTAGATATTGCCCTGTTTTATAAGTGAGAAAAAATCTCACGTTTTGCCCAGTTCCTCTGACTCAAAGTCTGGTATGCAGTCCATTTTCCCATTCCTGTCTGGGGTCACTGCATGAACACTTTAGATAATCTAGTCATTCTGATTATCACACAGTCTCAGCTTCTTTTGGTGCTTGTGATTTCAAACTAGAAATGTATTTTCTGTTGGGAATAATAAATAGTATTTTTAAAAAATTAATTAGACTCCACATAGAAAACTAAAGACTCTTTTTGCTCAAGACAAACTTTGAAATTGACAGAGAAGTTGTCTTAGCATCCCTTTCCTCATATTGGTGCCAGTATGTCTCTTCTTGGGAGTTCACTGGCATGTGACCTTTTAGAGTCAAGGTGTAGATTCCAGAAATCACAACTGGGATTCTGATAATATCGCAGACTTTGTTTTCCTACCATACCCAACTAAGTGTGCGGCTTCCAGAGCATATTAGCATAATTTGGCATAACTATTAGCATAAATGATCAGAACCAAGCTCTGTGGTCTCTCTTATTGCTACATCTACCTGTCCACAGCGTTGGATCCTAATGTTTTCCATGAACAGTGGCTTGGGGAATAATGTCTTCTTTCCAGAAAACTTCAAGGAATTGAATGTGAAGGGGCCACTAGGGTATTCTTGAGGCTAACTTACAAGTTGTGTTAGCATGAACTTAGTAGCTCAGCATCATATTGTCTGGGAAGCTGTCATGAAATCCCAGCTCATTTGTTTTGCCATTGAAAAATATAATTCCTATTTAACACAGTCAACTTTGGCTTTTTGTTCATCCCATCTCTAGGCTAGTGTTTTTGTTAACAAAGGCAGGTGGTTAGTTTGCATTTAAGGCACTGAGAGAAACTGACCAACATTTCTCGTATGGTGTGATTCTGTTCACTGATCTAACCTCTAATCAAATAAGCAGGTTTAGGCATATTAGACTACAGTGTTCTTTGTTCAGAATGTTGTATGTACCTTCATGCCCTGATGCCAGGTTACTGAGTAAGAGTGGTTTTTTTTTGGGGGGGGGGGGGGTGAGGGCCTTGAACTCAGACTTGAGTGCTGTTCCTGGGCTTTTGTGCTCAAGGCTAGTATTTTACCATTTGAGCCACAGCTCCACTTCTGGTTTTTTGGTGGTTAATTGAAGATAAGAGTCTCATGGTCTTTCCTGCTGGGGCTGGCTTTGAACCACAATCCTCAGATCTCAGCCTCCTGAGTAGCTAGGATTACAGGTATGAGCCACTGGCGCCCTAAAACCTTTTCTTTGCTTTGGTATGTTTGTCAACATTCTATCCTAAACTCATATTCTTGCCTGTTTAGCTGGTCATTGTAGGAAAAAAATGAAATCACTCACAGTTCTATTGTTTCCTACTAATGATTCTGAAATGTATTTTTTTTTTAATCAGAAAAGGTTAGCTCTGTAAAAAATTTTGAAATACCAAAAAAAGCAGAAACACCTTATATTGAAGTCCAAAAATGTTGTTGAGGTTCTGTTACCAGAAGTGGCAGTGTTTTTCTAGCAACACTTCTCTGATTGTCAAGTTAATAAAATTTTTAAAAATCAATCAAAATATATAAAGCTATGTATTAATCATACAATTAACTAGGGAAACTGGACATAACAGTATCATTTGAATTTATATCATTTGATATAAAAACTTTGAAGATGAAATCAGTAGTTTTATCTCCTGCTGCTTCTCATGAGTATTGAAACATTTTGGGTCTTTTGACTTTTTGACTATCAGAGCATGAAGAAACATGGCCATTCTGGTGGTGATGTAAAGGGAATCTGTTGCAAGACTTCTGTTTAGTGCCTGTCCCTTTCATCTCTTTTTGGTATAATCTGTTGTCTCCAAATGTTGACTGTCTGTAGCAAGCTGATGTCTTGATTTTATTTTTTTAAATAACAGTTTGTAGTTCTGAGTTTGAGATAAATAATTCATCAAAATATTTTTCTATTGTTCCCAGTTACAAATTACCTGTGTTGCAATCAGAGTAAAATATTTATATGCTCTGACCACTGAATGAAATACTAGAAAATAAAAGAAGACTTTTGTCTTGCCTTGTCTTTTTCTGTCTAAACTTATTGTACTTCAGTTGCCTCTTCCCTTGTCTCCTTCTTCCTGACATTCCTACTTTCTAAGATTGTAGACTGAAACTTGGCTTGCTTTACTGTTAATTTAAAAATTGGAATAACAAAAAATAAGCAAGATTCATGCTTTTCATTTGAGTTATGCTACTTAAAGTCAGTCAACCTTTGACATGTTTAACTTTTAAGAGATTCTAATCATTTATAGTACTTTGTTTTGTTATGAGCTTTACATCGATGCTTGTATTGACAACAATTAACCATTTTGTCATTACAGCATTAAAATGAGTTGTGTGTCTTTGAAGACAAAATTGAGCAAGTGCAGGAGCTAAATTACCTATAATATCTATACCATAAATCCACATTAATAGTTCCATTTTATAAGCAGAAAGGGGCTGGTAATGGAATGAAGTACCATATAGTGATTTTTGTTTGAAGAGGTTAATGGGAAGCAATGCAAGTATCTGCTGTAGAGCTCACTTGGTCAGAAAATAAGTTGATAGCACTTGATCCTTTAGAGTATTGGAGTAAATAAAGAGAATCTACAGTTCTTTCTTAGTAGATTGGTTTTCCTTTGGGCATTATGCCTTCAGGTTTAGTTGGTTTTTTTTTTTTTTTTTTGTCCTTGATGGAGCTTAAACTCAGGGCCTGGGCATTGTCCTTGAGCTTTTTGGCTCAAAGCTAGCACTCTACAACTTTGAGCTATAGCACCATTTCTGGTTTTCTGGTGATAACTAAGAAAATAAAAGAAAATCAGTCTTCTTATGTGCCATCTCTTAAAAAATACGTCTTTATCACCTAGCCCATACCAAATGTATTACAATAATACTGTGATGAGAATAGTGAAAGGAAATGTTGGGTGTTCTTCTACATTTAGAAGAGGTCTGAAGAGAAAATGATATATCTGACTTAATTAGATTAGACAAAGTGTGTTGCTTCAGAAACCATTTGTGGGGCTGGGAAAGCGGCTCTGTAGTAGAATGCTTGTCTTGCATGCTTGAGGCCCTGAGTTCGATTCCTCAGCACCACATAAGCAGAAAAAGCTGGAAGTGGTGCTGTGGCTCAAGTGGTAGAGTGCTAGCCTTGAGCTAAAGAGTTGAGGGACAGTGCCAAGGCCCAGAGTTCAGGCCTCATGACCTGAAAAAAAAAAATCAGTCCGGCCATGTAAACACAGATTTAATGACATGTGACACTTGTGTATCAGGTATGGTTGTTATATGTTAGAATTTTTAATGCTGCCATGAGCCATGTAAACCAGGTTTAAATTGTTAAGGCAGTCAAACATTCTTTCAGTTACTGGGTTTTTATTTCTTCTTCTTTTCCCTCCCCTCCCCTCCCCTCCCCTCCCCTCCCCTCCCCTCTCCTTCTCTTTTTTTTTTTTTGTGCACCTGTCCTGGGGCTTGAACTCAAGGTCTAGGCATTGTCCCTGAGCTTTTCTGCTTAAGGCTAGTGCTCTACAATTTAAGTCACAGCTCCATTTCCAGCTTTTGGGTGTTTAATTGGAGAAAAGAGTCTCATAGACTTTCTTGCACTGGCTGGCTTTGAACTCTGATCCTGTTCGAGTAGCTAGGATAATAGGCATGAGTCACTGGTACCTGGCTTGTGTTAACTTGTGTGTGTCTGTGTGTGTGTGCCAGTCCTATGGCTTTAGCTCAGGGCCTGGGCACTGTCCCTGACCTTTTTTGTTCAAGGGACTTGAGCTACAGCTCCACTTCAGCTTTTTTGATTAATTGGAGTTAAAAAAGTCTCACAGACTTTATTGCCTGGGCTGACTTCCAACTGCAAACCTCAGATTTCAGCCTTCTGAGTAGCTAGGGTTACAGATGTTAGTGAGCTACCAGTGCCCAGCTGAGTTATATTTTCTTTCTTTCTTTTTTCTTTTTTAAAGAATATGTAACTTGAAATGTATTTCAATCTAGATTTGTAGTTTTAATAATTTTGGCTCAGAAAAAGAGTAATGAGAGAGCTTCAGGGCTACTCTTGAATTCTCATCAGTGGGTTTCTATTAGTGATTATCTTGTTGAATGAGTTTAGTAAGTTGCAAATAAATTTCTTTTTGCATATTCAGCATATCTTCAATATGTCTGAAATTGGTTATTATTCGAAAGTTTCAATTTTCCTTAAAAATTTATCAGTGATCAGAATGCCTTTGAAAAAGAGGATGTTACTTTATACTCTACCAAAGGAAAAAGTGCTATGTACTTATTTTGTGTGCTATGATGTTATACATGCTTATTAATAAGATCCCAGACTGTAAGAAACTGGTTACCTATTTTTTATCTTAATGAATACCTTCATACTCTCTTGTACTTATGCACAAATCCTGCTTTGATGACTTTGAATAATTGTGCACATAATTAAAAAAAACAAAGCTAAATTATGAAAATTTCTGGGAATCTTATTAGTTCACTCAGATCTTGTTCTTTTTATTTTTTATTGTTTGGTAATTTGAGAGGAATCCCTTTTCAAATTGTATCTGTCTCTCTTTATCCCATTTATTAATAGAAAATGTTTCGATGAAAGATCCTCCGGACTTATTGGACAGGCAAAAATGCCTGAACGCCTTGGCGTCTCTTCGACATGCCAAATGGTTTCAGGTTGGCCTTTTGTTATTACCTTACTATTATTCTAGCCTTGTGCAGGTTTCATTTGGAACACCTGCCACTTCCTAGTTTCTGTGTGCTATATAAAATGGGGATATTTTCTAGCTCATAGGGTTGTTGTTGGAATGAATGAATCAATTTAGGATCAAATGCCTAGTATAGCTTCTATTAAAGTTAATGACGTTTTATCACAATTCATTTGGCTTAGCACTCTGAACTTTGAGTTGTGGATTGTAAATAAAAACATAGAAAAGCTGTTGCTTGGAATGGAGTAGCCATGAGGCTACAAGAATTTTTAAATTGCATTCCTTTCACTTTGAACATCGGCATTTTTGGAACTCAGTTTACTATTTTGATTTCATTTTCTTGGTTTGCTTGAAAACCATTGAATGACTTACTAATTAGTGTTCACTCTAAACAACTTATCCATGATCAATGTGCTTAAAATGAAGAATGGATTTCAAAAGGGATATTGGAATCATTTTGTTTGTTTTAGGCAAGGGCAAATGGATTAAAATCATGTGTAATTGTCCTCCGAATTCTGCGTGATTTGTGCAACAGAGTCCCCACATGGGCACCACTGAAAGGATGGGTAAGTAGTTAAGTGTGGTTAAAGGCAAGTTCTGAAGCTATAGCAGTGTGGAAATCCTGTAAAAACGATATTACTATAATAAATGACATTAGCTAAGGGATGCGTTATGTGTTTTTTTTTGCCCCAGAAAAAAATTATGCATCTTTTTATATGAATTGTATTTTTAACTAGTTTCTTCTACCTTATTATATTCATGTTTCAGAACCTGAATTTTTTTTTTTCTGACCTTTGTCAGAAAAAAGGTTTTATAGCTTTTAGAAGTGTCTTTCTGTTCTCACCTCTGCACTGTGATAGTTGATTAAACTATTGGACAACTGGTTACCTACTGTCCATGAAAGTCTAATTAGCTGGCCTTTTCAGTGTATCTCTTATTCTTATTACAGAGGATATTTATGTAATAGACTTGTATAAGGAACCTGTAATTTTATATTCTCTTTAAGTGGAGACACTTAAAAATAAGTTCATGTTAGTAATTAAAGTCATACAAAGAGCATACTTAACTAGATTCTACCATTGACATTGACTTAATTGGGAAAGTATTATGCCTGACCAATCAATAAAGACTACAATTTAAGAATGTTGTGAAGCAATTCAAATAAAGCTGTCAAGAGTCATCTATAAAGTAATCAACATTACTTTGTTTTGTGATTTTCAATTTATTAAATATGAAGATTGGTTCCTTTTTTTTCTAATTGTAATACTTGGATCAGGCTGTCTGAAATTTTGTTCTTACATGATATATTTATAGTTTAAGTGTTTCTTAAGTTAAATGGGATTTAGGTAGCCTGGATTTGTACATTGGCTAGTTACTAGCTATTACTAACTTATATGAAGGCTTGGTCATAGTTTCTTTATAGAGTATTAATTTTTATGTTGTTACAACAATATCTTCAGAAAATGTCTCAAAAATACTTGACTTAAAAAATTGAGTGGGGTTAAAGATAGCAGGCCTTAAATGTTAAATTGTCTTTATGTTTTTGGCTTCCCTTATAGATAGAAATGTCAGCTCACATTTAACTGGAATCCCTTTTAACACTTGGTGCATGTACTAATTTGTAATTTAATATCTTCTAGCCACTAGAGCTTATATGTGAAAAGTCTATAGGTACTTGTAATAGACCTTTGGGCGCTGGGGAGGCCTTGAGACGAGTAATGGAGTGTTTGGCATCTGGAATACTACTTCCTGGTAAGGGTTTCAAACTCTGGAGGCAGAAGAATCAGAAAAACCTCATTTTAGTTAAATTGTCTACACATACATTAAATTTGTTCTCTGCATAGGAAAATGATGTCTAGGAGTTACTTTGCTTGGAATTTTAGCAACTAGAATGTTTGTGTGTTGGAAAGGTGAAATAAAACTTTTTCAATAATTGTAATTTGTTTTATATATACTAACATAAAGGGTACTAATAGAGATTGTGTCTGCTATGAATTTGCCTTACCTAGAAGTCTGACTTTGAAAATGCTGGTATTTGTTTAAAATGTATGAATTTAATTGTTTGCAGTCTGTGTTAAATTTGGAAAAGTTAAATTTGGTCTCATTTTCCATACGTAATCCTTTTAAAGATTGTGCTGTTTCTAAATTCTCAGAGTAAGATCCATTTTTGGTACTAGATAGACAAGAGACTTCCATTATAAGATAAGACCAATTAAATGTTAATATTGAAAATGAGAGTGAGCAGACTTTATTTAGCTCCTTTGTTTTTTCCCCATTCTTTGTTGTATCACTTTGCTGAGCTCTAAACTCAGTTCTGACTGACATTTGTATTTTTCCTTGCCTTTGCTAAAGGAGGCCCTGGTCTTCATGATCCTTGTGAGCGAGACCCAACAGATGCTCTGAGCTATATGACTATCCAACAAAAAGAAGATATTACCCACAGTGCACAGGTAAAAAGACTGAAAAACTACTGTGATTTTTAGAAAGATATCAAAACTTTTATTTTCCGAATCCTTCTTGCATGCTCTTAAGGATTTTTGCCATCATAATAGCAGCATTTAATGAATGTCTTTTTAGCTAGACTTATGAATGGCCATTGAAATTTGATTAAGAAAATGTTTTATTCTTTAGCATGCGCTTAGACTGTCAGCGTTTGGCCAGATTTATAAAGTGTTGGAGATGGACCCCCTTCCCTCTAGTAAGCCTTTTCAGAAGTATTCCTGGTCAGTTACTGATAAAGAAGGTGAGTGTGAAGGTTTTTATTTTGTTTGGGGGTTTGCCTTTTATTAGAACTTAAAGAACTTAAATCATTGTTGATCCAAGTCATCTTTAAGAAAATTGATTGATTTTCTCCTGACCTTTTTGGCTTATAGCCCTATCAGTGGCATTAATTTTTTCTGTTTGTTACCATTTTTTTTTACTACAAAGACAAAGGTACCATACTTTGAACTTTGATCTAAGAATAAATTATATAAACTAGGAGGAGATACTGGTACTGTTGCTGATAATTTTGGAAATATGTATATACATGCAACGTAAAAACATACCTACATGCACATGTGTGTTTTGCTAGGGTTGGGTTTGAACTCTGCCTTGAGCTTTCCTCAGCTTGCTTGTTTGGCTGGCATTGTGCTGCTTTAGCCATACCTTTAGTCAGCTTTTTCTTGGTTATTTTGGAAATGGACTCTTAGTGAATTTTCTGTTTAGCTGGCTTTTAACTGAAGTCTTCCAGCTCTCAGCCTCCCGAGTAGTAAGGAGTAGTGCTGTGAGCTGCCAGAGCCCAGCTCATGTGTGGAAGTATTACATAACCACCAAAGAGAAAACAAATGTAAAAGAAGAGAAAAGCATATTATAAAATTCAGTACCATCTTCTATTGTCCTGGTTTGACTAAACTTACGAGTTTCACAGAAAGAGCGTCAGAATGACCTGGACTCCAATTATAGCTTTACTACTTACTTAGTTTAGGTCTTGAGCAGTGAATTTTCCTCCTTCAGTAAGGATCTTACCATTTTTCTTACTTATTGGCTATTGGCAGCTTAAAATGTCTGACTCAGGGCCTTTAATATAGCAGATGCTCAAATGTGAATCTACTCATTCTCTACAATGTGTCACAGAAAACACTTTATTTTCCTCCCTCTTACTTTCTTTTTTTTTTTTTTTTTGGGTCCGGTCGTGGGGCCTGAACTCTGGGCCTGGGTGCTGCCCCTCAGCTCTTCACCTCAAGGCTAGCGCTCTACCACTTGAGCCACAGCGCCACTTCCGGCTTTTTTTCTTTTTGCTTATGTGGTGCTGAGGAATTAAACCCAGGGCCTTGAGCATGCAAGGCAAGCGCTCTACCACTGAGCCACCTTCCCAGCCCCTCCCTCTTACTTTCATGTTATACTAGAAGGTGGGGTATTTAATAGCAGATACTCTTTACTATGAGGTAACTTACCTCCCACAATTGAGACTGTTCTAAAAATTTGTGTGTAACAAAATTAGTGCGGTTGTGCAATCTGTTCAAACAGAATTACACTAGGTCTCTGGTCTTATTCTGGGAGATGAAACTTTCTTGTTTGACCAAAAAGATCAAAACTGTTTCATACCTGAGAGTGGTGGTGCATACCTGTAATCTTAGGACTTAGAAGGCTGAGACAGGATAATTTAGAAGTTTGAGACCAGCCTGGGTTGCATAGCAAGACTCTAATTTCAAAATAAAAATCCTATTTCATGATATTAAGGCATTTGTCATTTTACTTACTTTTTTTGTTGGTTGTGGGACTTAAACTCAGAGCCTGGGCACTCTTGCTGAGGTCTTTTGCTCAAGGCTACCACTCTATCACTCTGAGCCACAGCACCACATCCCATTTTCTGGTGGTTAATTGGAGATATGGTTGTCGTGGACTTTTCTACCCTGGCTGGCTTCAAACTGTAATCCTCAGATCTCAACCTCCTGGGTAGCTAGGATTATAGATGTGAGCCACTGGTACTCAGCTTAATTATATTTTTATTATCTTTAACATTTTAGTTTTTAAGGGGAAGAGGGAAACTAGGATGAGAGCTAGGAGCTATCATCATGACAGGTCAGTTTTAGCACCTACCTTTCTACATTCACATGACTTCAAAACAGATTTTTTTTTCTCTCTCTCAAACTCTGACATCCTAATTTCTTGACTACTTCTTCCACAAATAATTTTTACCACCTACCTCATCTCAGCTGCTTATTCTGTGGACATACCTCAGACCTGTCTTCAGCATTAATAGTATCAGATGTAACTTTCTATAATTGTATTTTAAGAGTTTCACGTTTTAGCTTACCTTTGATTACTCTGTCTAATACTCTTATCCCTTAAACTCACCATTGATTTTAGTTACCTTAATTATTTCATGGTCTTCTAGCTTTCACACTACTTTTGTTCTCTGGCTCATTATTATGATCCCTAACATACACCTTTACTTTTGATATCATGTCTTCCTAATAGAAGTATTCTAAGTAGCTGAAATCCATCTCTCAACCTGCAACAGGTTGCTGAGCAAAGTTTGGGAAAAACACTGATGAGTCATCTTCTGTATTCTCCCTTTAAGTCTTTGGCACTACAACCTCACAGGGACTCTTTATGTTGTCTGGTAATTCTCTATGTCAGTTTGAGAGTTCTTCTCTTTTCCTAAATAACTCTTTAACATCTCCTATTTCACATCGCTACCATTACCTCCTGCCGTCTGATAGCTTTGCTTGTTTTCTTTTTTGTCAGATTAATTTATTGGAGCTGGGTGCTGGTGGCTCATGCCTGTAATCCTTGCTACTCAGGAGGCTGAGATCTGTGGATCACAATTCAAAACCAGCCTGGGCAGGAATGTCTGGGAGACTCTTATCTCCAATAAAACACTCAGAAAACCAGAAGTGGCGCTGTGGCTTAAGTGTTAGAGCGCTAGCCTTGAGCTGAAGAGCTGAGGGACAGTGCCCAGGCCCAGAGTTCAAGCCCCATGATTGACAAAAAATAAATAAAAATGTTATTGGAGCTGATGTCTACATATTCTTACCACTCTATATATCAACCTTGTTGTATCTCCTCATACTCTTTGCTTTCCCTCTCTTACCTGTAGAGAGCTGTCCAACCTCTTATGTAAAAAAGACTAGCCTTTAAATACAAGATCATGTCATCTGCAAAGAGGGAGAGTTTTACTTCATCCCTATTTGGATCCCCTTTGTGTCTGCATCTTGTCTTATTGCTGTAGCTAGGCATTCTAATACTAGGTTGAAGAAGAGTGGGGACAGTGGACACCCTTGTCTTGTTCCTGAATTTAGAGGAAATGACTTTAACTTTTCTCTATTAAGTATAACTCTGGCTGTAGGTTTATCATATATAGCCTTTATTATATTGAGAAATGTTCCATGGATTCCTAGTTTTTCCAGAACCTTCATCATAAAGAGGTGCTGGATCTTGTCAAATGCTTTTTCTGTATCTATTGAGATAACCATGTGGTTCTTATCCTTGCTCTTGTTGGTGTGATGAATTATATTGTTTGTCTTTTTTTTTTTTTGGTTGGTTGTGAGGCCTGAACTCTGGGCCTGGGCTCTATCCCTCAGCTCTTCAGCTCACGGCTAGCGCTCTACCACTTGAGCCACAGCACCCACTTCCGGCTTTTTCTGCTTAGGTGGTGCTGAAGAATCGAACCCAGGGCCTTATGCATGCAGGGCAAGCCCTCTACCACTGAGCCACCTTCCCAGCCCATGAATTATATTGTTTTGCGTATATTGAACCAGCTTTGCATCCCTGAAATGAATCCTGTTTGATTGTGGTGTATGCTTCTTTTGATGAGTTGTTGAAGGGAACCCTAGTGCATTGTTGGTAGGAGTGTAAACTTGTTCAACCGCTCTTGAAAGCAGTTTGGAGGTTCCTCAAAAGACCTCATAGAGCTCCCTTATAACCCAGCGATCCCACTTTTGGGCATTTACCTGAACGATCACAAATAAGGTCATACCAAAGTTACCAGCACAGCCATGTTTATCGCAGCATTATTTACCATAGCTAAGATATGGAACCAACCCAGATGTCCCTCAGTAGATGAATGGGTCAAGAAAATGTAGTGTGTGTGTGTGTGTGTGTGTGTGTGTATTATATATATAATATATATAATGGTGTATTATATATATATATTATATATATATAGTTGAATTCTATGTCTCCGTCAGAAAGAATGACATTGCCTATTTCGTTAGGAAATGGAAAGAGTTGGAAAAATTTATATTAAGTGAAGTAAGCCAGGCCCAAAGAAACACAGGTCCCATGGTTTCCCTTATTTGCAGTGACTATTACATGTCTAGGACAAGAAAAGGTCAAAGGCTAGTATATACAACCACATGAGATAATGTGAAGCAAAATATACCCCAAGACAGGGACACAAGAGGTTTTTTTTTTTTTCTTGCTTGCTTGCTTGCTTGCTAGTGTTATTAATGTACTTAAAATGCACTATGTGATTCTTTTGTTTCTATTGTACATTCTTCCCTCATGGTATAACCCCTGTTTTCACTGGATTTGATGCCTGTGCTCTGTACCTTGTATATATATTTTTGTAATTTGGGGAGGGGAAGGGATATTGCAGAACGCTTAAATGGGGATGCAGGCTGACCCATTGAACAGGATGAGATGTACAGGACACTATATTGAAAATGAACATTACAATGTGGGGGGGGGGCGGGACGAGTTGGGGGGAGGCGGGGAGGGAAGTGATGGTAGGGGAAAATAAAGGAGGAGGTAACAATGCTTGCTATGAAATGTGTTCATGTAACTGTAACCCCTCTGTACAACATTTTTACAATTAAAAAAAAAAAGACTAGCCTTTCTCCTTGTCCCATATATCAGATTACCTCTTGCCTATTAGTGGACATTATTCCATCAGTTATTTCGTCTCTTAAAACAGTTTCTCCTCATCTATGCTGTAACATCCCCTGTCTGAAGTAAACTCACCCTTAATTTTACAGCTGTTCCCAACAGTCCCATGTTTCAGCTCCCCTTTAGAGCAGGACTCTTGGAAAAAGCAACTTTTATCTCACTTTCTGTTCTCTTTTGAACCTGTTATATCAGGCTTCCTTCCTTGCCACTCTCCTGGCCTATCATCTATGTCTGTCTGTCTGTCTGTCTATCCATCCTCTCTCTCTCTCCCTCCCCAAGTCTATCTCTAATTAATCAATTTCTATCTATCTGTCTGTCTGTCTGTCTGTCTGTCTTGTCTGTCTGTCTGTCTGTCTTGTCTGTCTATCT